ATCACAAGCATTCTTATACACCAGTAACAGACAAACAGAGAGCCAAATAAGGAATGAACTTCCATTCACAATTGCTTCAAAGAGAATAAAATACCTAGGAATCCAACTTACAAGGGATGTAAAGGACCTCTTCAAGGAGAACTACAAACCACTGCTCAGTGAAATAAAGAGGACACAAACAAATGGAAGAACATACCATGCTCATGGATAGGAAGAATCAATATCGTGAAAATGGCCATACTGCCCAAGGTAATTTATAGATTCAATGCCATCCCCATCAAGCTACCAATGAGTTTCTTCACAGAATTGGAAAAAACTGCTTTAAAGTTCATATGGAACCAAAAAAGAGCCCGCATCTCCAAGGCAATCCTAAGTCAAAAGAACAAAGCTGGAGGCATCACGCTACCTGACTTCAAACTATACTACAAGGCTACAGTAACCAAAACAGCATGGTACTGGTACCAAAACAGAGATATAGACCAATGGAACAGAACAGAGTCCTCAGAAATAATACCACACATCTACAGCCATCTGATCTTTGACAAACCTGAGAGAAACAAGAAATGGGGAAAGGATTCCCTATTTAATAAATGGTGCTGGGAAAATTGGCTAGCCATAAGTAGAAAGCTGAAACTGGATCCTTTCCTTACTCCTTATACGAAAATTAATTCAAGATGGATTAGAGACTTAAATGTTAGACCTAATACCATAAAAATCCTAGAGGAAAACCTAGGTAGTACCATTCAGGACATAGGCATGGGCAAAGACTTCATGTCTAAAACACCAAAAGCAACGGCAGCAAAAGCCAAAATTGACAAATGGGATCTCATTAAACTAAAGAGCTTCTGCACAGCAAAAGAAACTACCATCAGAGTGAACAGGCAACCTACAGAATGGGAGAAAATTTTTGCAATCTACTCATCTGACAAAGGGCTAATATCCAGAACCTACAAAGAACTCAAACAAATTTACAAGAAAAAAACAAACAACCCATCAAAAAGTGCGCAAAGGATATGAACAGACATTTCTCAAAAGAAGACATTCATACAGCCAACAGACACATGAAAAAATGCTCATCATCACTGGCCATCAGAGAAATGCAAATCAAAACCACAATGAGATACCATCTCACACCAGTTAGAATGGCGATCATTAAAAAGTCAGGAAACAACAGGTGCTGGAGAGGATGTGGAGAAATAGGAACACTTTTACACTGTTGGTGGGATTGTAAACTAGTTCAACCATTATGGAAAACAGTATGGCGATTCCTCAAGGATCTAGAACTAGATGTACCATATGACCCAGCCATCCCATTACTGGGTATATACCCAAAGGATTATAAATTATGCTGCTATAAAGACACATGCACACGTATGTTTATTGCAGCACTATTCACAATAGCAAAGACTTGGAATCAACCCAAATGTCCATCAGTGACAGATTGGATTAAGAAAATGTGGCACATATACACCATGGAATACTATGCAGCCATAAAAAAGGATGAGTTTGTGTCCTTTGTAGGGACATGGATGCAGCTGGAAACCATCATTCTTAGCAAACTATCACAAGAACAGAAAACCAAACACCGCATGTTCTCACTCATAGGTGGGAACTGAACAATGAGATCACTTGGACTCGGGAAGGGGAACATCACACACCGGGGCCTATCATGGGGAGGGGGAAGGGGGGAGGGATTGCATTGGGAGTTATACCTGATGTAAATGACGAGTTGATGGGTGCAGCACACCAACATGGCACAAGTACACATATGTAACAAACCTGCACGTTATGCACATGTACCCTACAACTTAAAGTATAATAATAATAAATAAATTTAAAAAAAATATTTATTTTTCCCATTCATCTCTTAACTTTAGGAATTTTCCACTTCCCATGATAGACCTTGAGTCCCTCCTCTTGCATCTCCCTACTCACATCCATTCCATGATATTCATGTCCCTGACAACTGATTATTTTGTAGAATGATACTCAACTTTATGTAATGGGTATGTGCCCCTACTTGATATACTACTTAAGTTCGGAGATCCAATCAGCTGACATTAAAAAAAATTAGAGAAGTGGGAAAAAGTAGAAGATTTGTTTAAAGACACAGCCAGTAGTACAGTCCTTACAAACCATTGTAAGATCTTGGGCTTCTACTCTGAGGGAGATGTGTTGTGAGCAGCAATGTGATATGATCTGAGCTGGATTTTAACTGGATCAATCTGACTGCTGTATTTAAAAGAGCCTGAGGGTTTGGGGCAGGAAAGTGAGAGATTTCAGTGACTTAGGAGTAGTGTTTGAATTAGTGGCAGAGGGTAGGGTTCTAGGTTTTTTTCTGAGGGTATAACCAACAGACCTCCCTCATGGATCAGATGTAGATTGTGAGTGAAAAAGAGTTGAGGTGGACGCAATAAACATATATCTACATATTCTTTGACAATCCTCCCTCAGAAGGTACAGACTAATTCCCCTCCCCTTTAGTGTGGGTGGGACTCGTGACTTGCTTCTAATGAATGGAATGTGGCAGGAGGGACAGGCTCAGGGTGTGGTCACATCATAGGACACATCACCATGTCCCTTGACTAGGACATAAAAGGCACTGTGTTTTCCTTATTGGGCTCTCTCTCTCTCAATCACTTGTCCTGGAGAATGCCAGCTGCCATTTCACAAGGACACTCAAGTAGCCCCATGGAGAGGCCCATGTGGTGGGCAACTGAGGCCTCTTGCCAACTGCCCCATGGAACCCAGGCTTTTTGTCAGTAGCCATATGAGTTGGGCCATCTTGGAAGGGTTTCCTCCAACCCCAGTCAAGCCTTCAGCTGACTGTAGCCCCAGATGATGTTATTTCACCCACGTCATGGGAGATTTTGAGGCAGAATCACCCAACTAAGCTGCTCCTGAATTTCAGACCCATGGAAATTGTGAGAAAAATCAATATTTGTTGTTTAGAAACAAACTAATCAATCATTAAAATTTAATAAAATAACATTTACAAATATTAATGAGAGTTCACATTATATAATCTAGTAAATATATTGATATAATTTCTGTGCTTTTTCACATAAGAAATAGGAATATATTACCTACGAAGAAACCTAACACCTTGGCCATCATCCCATCATAAATCAAGCCTCTGTGTCTCTCTTTATTATTAGAAAAACAAATGATAAATAGGTTTCTAGGCACAGTACCAAAGAGGAGAAGAGAAGGCATGTTGCACCCATGAGTCAATTATATTAGACTTCTGTGGTCTATCCTTCAACGAGTATTCATGGCAGAGCTGGGAGGATGGAGGGATCACGTCACAGAATCACAATTTGGTTATCTAGTTTAAAAACTTACCAAAGGGCAATTGCTTCCTTTGTCCACTTTCTCTTTCCTGGTAATGTCCCAGTAGCATCATTGTGAAATGAGCTGGCCTCACATCAGACCCGAGGAAAATAGCTGTGAGTTATTCACAGGCTTCCAGGACAGCATCTGATGAAACTACAATTTTCTTTATTCTGAATAGAGAAATATATGTGCATTTGGACGTGCAAAAATAAATACTTCGTTAATTATAATTTTATTGGAGTTTATTTCTCAAGAAGAAGATTCTGAAATGCTTTTTCAGCTTGAGAAAAAGATCAGTGGCATTCTCCTCCACCAAAATAGCCCTGGCTGTCAGAATGGTGGTTTCTATTCGAGTGCTCATTTGCTGCATAATTTTAATCAAAGTCACTGCTGACATTTGGCTACCACTTTACAGTTTATAAATCACTTTCACACAAACTAAGGAATTTGTCATCTACATCACAGTCTTGTGAGGGAAGTGTTAATGTACAAAGTTGACAGACAGGATCCTGAGTTTCAGAGAAGTCTGGAATTGCCCTGGGCCACAGAGCAGCTGGCGACAGAGGGAGTATTTAAAATTGGGCCTTTTCAGTCTATGTCCACTATTCCATAGCTACTTCTTCAAATCATCCAGCTGTCATGAAAAAATAAAGCACTTAGCACCATGCCAGGCATATAACAATAACACAATAAATTATTACAGTCATGCATCACTTAACGATGATGATATGTTCTGAGAATTGCATCATTAGGCGATTTCATCATTATGTGAACAGCATAGCGTATACTTATGCAAAACTAGATAGTAGAGCTACTACACACCTAGGCTCTATGGTATGGCCTATTGCTCCTGGGCTACACACCTGTATGGCATGTGACTGTACTCAATACTGTAGGGAATTGTAACACCATGGTAAGTATTTGTGTATCTGAATATGTCTCAATATAAGAAAGGTACAGTAAAAATATGATATAAAAGATTAAAAAATAGTATACCTGTATATTATACATTCCTATTACCATCACAATGGTAATTTTACAATGAATGCAACTTGAAGGACTAGAAGCTGCTCTGGGAGAGGCCATGAGTGAGTAGTGAGTGAATGTGAAAGCCTAGACCATTACTGTACAGTTTCGTATAACTGGCAGAGCAGTAGCTTTGTTTATACCAGTGTCACTCAATATAGTTTGGATATTCATTCCCTCCAAATCTCGTGTCAAAATTTGATCCCCAATGTTGGAGGTAGGACAAGAGGAAGGTGGCTGGGTCATAGGGGCAGATCCCTCATGAATGGCTTGGTGCCGTCCCCAGAGTAATGAACGAGTTCTTGCTCTATTGGTTCACAGGAGAACTGGTTGATTCAAGGAGTGTGGCATCCGTCTTCTTTCTATCTATTGTTCCATCTAGCACCATGTGATGCCTGCTCCCCTTTTCCACTTCGACCATGGTTTAAAACTTGCTGAGATGATCATCAGAAGCAGATGCTGGCACCCATACTTCTTATATAGCCTGCAGTTCATGAGCCAAATAAACCTCTTTTCTTCATACATCACCCAGTCTCAGGTATTCCTTTACAGCAACACAAAATGGACTAAGATACACCACGAACACATGAATTATGCATTGTGCGATGGCCATGATGTCACAAGGCAATAGGAATTTTTGGCTCCATTATAATCTATGGGACCACTGTTGTATATGTGGTCCATAGTCCAATGAGATTCCATTTTGCAGTACATGACTGTATTATCATAAAAGGAACCAGGATAATACCCTGCTCTATGGAAGAACTATGGCTAGAGTTCTTTCCCTCGAGTGAGTTTTGTACCAGGATCTCTCTGTCCCATCTCATCAGAACACCCACTTGACTGCCTAATTACTTCACAGAGCTGACATGAGGGTTACTTCGTTGCTTCCACTGGCCAAGCTCCGGCAGGAAGCACATAAACCAAGGAAGATGTTAGGTGAGTCCTACAGTTACTTTGCCAATTTTCATTGGGAATAATGCAGGTTTAGCCAAGAAACATCAATTCAGAATTGTTAATATACAGTCTGAGAGCTGTGCTTGGTGTTTGGGGACGTAAAGTTGTGAAGCAGTCTTTCCTGGTATACGGGGGAAAAATCATACTAAGGATTTCATTTGGGGATTTTTTTTTGACAGAACATGTCAAGACCCCAGAATATAAACAGCAAGATAAATTACTTAAAGCATTTCAATGAAAAGACACTTCCCTCAGGGTTCCCCAGCACTCTCAAATCTGGAATGAGTTACAACAAGAAGTTTTCTCCATGCAGTCTGTGTTTTCCTCCTTTCTAACAGGTTGATGAACTTGACATTGACTGTGAGGTCATAGGTCAATGTGAGTGGCATGCATGTTTCCACATTTTTCATCTGAAATCAGTATTTTTTTCTCATTTAAGTTTAACTGTAGGGATTTCCCATTTCCCATTTTGACCTTGAGTCCCTCCTCTCCCTTCTCCTTATGCACATGAATTCCTTCAGGATAAGATACATGAGGTGTGCGGTGCTGATCAACCAATAATTTTGCAGAACAACAGAATCAACCTCTCTTAAAGGTATGTGTGACTATTTGATGAACTACTTAATTGTGGCAACCCAACTCAGTTGAGGTCAGAGGATCATTATTTAAGGTGCACCAGTATCATTATGAAATATCACTAGCAATTTAAAAAAAAAGTATGAATAATTAATATTAAAATTATCTCAGAAAAGTCAATGCCCAGCTCTTACAGAGGGAAAGACTAAAACCCAAGGAAGTTCTCTGATTTTTTTCTGGGGACAAATAAAGATGTTACTTTTCCATTAGTGTCTATTGTCATTTGAAACCTGAACCACTGTGAAAGACCTGTCTTTTTTCCCAGAGGCAAGTCAGAAGGTGGTAGAACAAGTAGTTCTTTGTATAGTACATTTTAACAAAACTGTTAGTTCAGATACAGGATAAAATCTTCTTTGAGCAACCTAGAACTGTTCATTGGAAGATTTAATTTTGTTGTTCAACAGCAAGTGGATGGATTTTTAGGATAAAATTTTAGAGTCTTCATAACTATATATATTACAGTATTTTAATGTATAGAATGGGTATTTAGTCTTGTTTTCTCAACTCTTATTTATTTCAATAAGGCCATTGATACCTCATATTATCATTAAATGGCCTCTGAATAATTTATGTTTTCACATCTAAAATCAAGTACTTTTTAAAAATCCAAATATCCTATTAGTTCAAAATGATTTTAACTCCTTAAGGATTATAAATGGTTAAGCCAAAGTAAAGAGTGGGTATACTTATCCATCCACTCATTGAAAACAATTAGAAAGAATCAAGCAAACTGTAGGCTTAAGCTGTGCTTCTTTTTCATATGGTCTCATTGTCATGGAAAGATGAAGGGGATAGATGCACACAGGACTAGAGGGCTGAAGGAAGCACCTTTCCTAGTCTTGTAATAATGTAATTATTTACAAGCTGATTGACAGCAGGGTGTTTACTACTAAACTTTTGTGTTTAAGTAACAGGACAACTCGAGTTAACCTAGTTTACCTAGTGGGTTTTCCCATTTGCACATTTACTGAATCTTGACAGCATTCTCAGTTGCAGATCCGATGGCTCAGTGGGCGCCTAACAAACAAACTCCCTTTTGAGCCAATGGAAAGAGAAACAATGGCTCTGACAAACATAAAAACAATTTGGCTCATTCTTACTCAGGCTTGGAACACAACATTTGGTCAGGGAAATTGGAACGCTTTTCTGTGCTCTCCTGACACAGACCTTCATAAAATGGCTTCATTTTAATTTGAAAAGTGGGCAATCTTTTAGTATCAGATAGCTTGCATTTGAATGAAACACAAACACATTACAAGGCCAAAGGGAGATTATTTGGTCATCATTAATGATGTTGTTACCTTGAGAAATTTGGTGTATCTCTTCGAAAACAATGTAGAAAGCTTTGTCAACCCTTATTCATCTCAGCCTCACATGATTATAGGTTTACATTTGAGAGAAGAGCAAATGTATGGCTTTATTCGGCAAAAAAGCACAGCTGCTCACATCTATTGCACTCATACCTAGTCATTTCTCTGCTGGTCTCTAAGAGATAAGTCTTTCTGGGAACAACACTCTAAGACATGGCCCCATTCTGGACGAAATGAGCACAACTTCATGATGAAGACTGCGTGCCCTGGCTGACGGGTTGAGGCGAACAGCTGTCCCCAGAGCGCCACACTGGCTCACTCTATGAGCATTTGAAGAGGCGGTCCACACAGAAAGTAAAGCCTCTTGATTCAGAGGAAGCTTTCAAACCAGCAACACATGACAGTTGAGTTGAAACTATATTTGATCTACTAAACTATATAATTTGCTACCCTTTTACACTTCTGATGTATAACAAAATAGAAGAGAGGATCACAGGTTCACCTTAACAACAGCTGGCAATTTAAAAAGTGAGCAAAAGAGCACATCAGAGTTGGAGCAATGCAAGTGCCCTCTGCCAAGCCGAGAGCGGAGCCACTGAAAATGCTCCCACCTCAGCATCATTTGGGAATTTACAGATACGCTGTGGGTGGAGAATCATGGTGTAGAGTCAGTGTACCTTACAGCACCATAGACGTTGGAAAGAGAAGCTGGACCTGGGCCCCACAGTTCACAAACACACTCACAGTTAACACTTTTCAAGCTTCAGGAAGACACTTCCCAACCTATATCACTGGTCACCAGCGATGGGATCTCCTGTCTGTGATCTCCAGACAGGAGATTACAGCCAAATGCCTTGCAGTTTTGTGATACTTTGTTGTCAGAGTTGAAGTTCTTTGATGTACAGTGATGATATAAGCAGTGGAATCACTTAGGTAAGAGAAAAGAAAAATGAATTTATCTTCATGGACACAATAGGTTCTCAAATAATAATTATTTCCCAAAAGCTACTGAATGTCTGGGTGGTAGGATCTTGGCTCACTGCAACCTCCATCTCCTGGGTTTGAATGATTCTTGTGCCCCAGCTTCCCGAGAAGCTGAGATTACAGGTGTGCATCACCATGCCTGGCTAATTTTTTTTTGATTTTTAGTAGAGACAGGGTTTCACCATGTTGGCCAGGCTGGTCTTGAACTCCTGGACTCAAGTGATGCACCCACCTCAGCCTCCCAAAGTGCTGGGATTATAGGCATAAGCCATTGTGCCTGGTTTGATGTATGCTTTATTTTATTACTTAGCAGGTGCTGCTGATCCATAGGCTAATGCATAGGACTCCTGCATTAATAATTAAGTCTAGTCACAATTGATATTTTGCTCATTTTCAGACCTATATAAGCAATAATGATAAATATTTACATATTTTTTGATTTTGACATTTTGAAGGTATATTTATCAAAGTACGAGAACAAACACAATAGAAGATATTTCATTTAGCAATTTGTAAGATTCATTTTTGACTTTTAAGTGTTTAGACATGGCACATGGGCCTCCCTCTGTAGTCTTATTCCACAACCCAGAAGTGTTTGAGGAGATATGTGTAAGTACAGGTTGAGTACCCCTCATTCAAAAATCCGGAATTCAAAATGCTCCAACATCTGAGTTTTTCAGCATCGACACACCTAGAAAATAGAAAATTCCACACCTGGCCTAATATGGTGGGTTGCAGTCAAAACTTTATTTCATACACAAAATTATTAAAAATATTATATAAAATTAACTTCAGGCTATGTGTATAAGGTGTATATAAAGCAGAAATGAATTTCATGCTTAGACTTGAGTCCCATCCCCAAGATATCTCATTATGTTTATGGAAATATCCCAAAATCTGAAAAAATTCAAAAATGGAAACTACTTTTGGTCCCAAGCATTTTAGATAAAAGATACTCAACTCATATATGAATATACTTATAAAATAGCTCTGCCTGTTATCAAACAGTATACCAGTGAATATGCTATTGTATTCCATTTATTATTTATTCAGCACCTTTGTTTGTAGCACCTTAGCATCATGGATTTATAAATGATGGATGGTGAACACATCATGACAGCTGAGAGATGCACATAATTGAACAGGATCTCATGTCCATAGTTCATATTGACCTCAGTGGAAGAAACCTACAGTGCTCTTAAAGGCAGGAGCTGGTACATAAATCCTGGGAAGCAGTCATTCTGCCACGCATTGTTCAATGATCTAACTTGGCTTTTAATTGTCTTCTCCTAAGTGCTGTCAGACTCAGCTCTACACAAACACAGCTGAGGAAACCCAGTCCTTGTAGGTTTAATCCCTCCAATAGTTCCACATAAACAAATATTCCATGGCACAACCACAGTTTGCATGGCTTTACCTAAAATAGAATTTATCTTTTCATTTGTCTGACTGGATTTATTTTGTTCTTTCTCTTTCCACTTCAGATGTTGATCCCTCTCTGGAATTTGCAAAAAAAATGAAATTGTCCTTTTTTTAAATTATTGCAAAATAGAATAATAGTCGATGATTTGTTTCTGTCTTGACATTTCAAAAACAGTAATTAATGTGTCCAATATTTACTGAAATAGTATAAATCAAATTTCTCTGTAATCACTTATTTAGAAAACAGTAAGAAAAATTGTTGTCTGTTTCATAGCAGGATTCTCAGAAATTGTGGGTTCTAAGGAATGATAGGAAATACAAATTACTTCAGATTTTACCCTTGCATCTCTATCTACAAATTAATGTGAAGAGTTGCATTGTGGTTTCCTAGCATTCAAGCTACCTTCTCAAAAATGTAGAGATGGAGGAGTGATTATTAATTTCTTCACAAAGTTCTCATTCCTTCAGTGGTTATGAGTTGTATTGCTATTGTTGTATTGATGGTGACTACTTGAGCAAAGGGAGTTAGAAAGGCATTCAAATTTCTTGTGCATTTGTCAGATCATTGGAATAATTTTGTCCAAAATCTGCTGTTTCGGAGGGAGTAGTTTATTGCTGAGGAGCTTTGTTTCTCTGGGTAAAAGTCCCTTCGACTTTCTACTGTTCATCACCAAACCGATGTCTTTAAATAAACGAGTCATCGAGGGTGTTGTGTTAAATACAATCTAAGAGACCTAGGCAAAGAATGACATTTTAAATGCTGTGTGAAGTGTAGTTCTATTACCAGGGATGCACTGTGTATAATGATTTCAGTCTCTCTAGTAAGAAGAAATTGTTTTTACTAATTTATCAGGAGCCTTAAAAATCACACTATTTGAAGCACTGTTAAGAAAAATTTGGAAGAGTTAATAGGTAAACAAGGCATCAAAATGTTAACATGAATAACCTTTAGCATCACAACAGGGTGGAGAAGAAAAGCAGTTCTATTTGGAGATGTTAGCAAGGCTGGCCCAGGTAGGACAGTCCCGGCCCATGATCCTCTAGTGAGGATGAGGCGTTCTGAGGGGAATCTGACAAAGGAAAACCTTTTATTTAGGAACAACCCTTATTCCGGGTGACTTGGACTAATTAGTATAAGTTAGATAAATGTGGTAAGAACTTTATAAACTGGTGGACCCTTTGGAAATTTTTTCTTGGTTGAGTAAATTGTTCAAGAAGAAATTAATGAGGAGTATAGGCAATATCTTCTTGAAATAACAAAAAGTATTTTATGGCAAAATATCAATGTTGCAGATCTAGATTCTGCACTGGAGGATGTATTTATCCTTAGGATGATCCAGTTATGAAGAAAGATCATGGGGTTGAACATCACTGAGACCCTTCCCTGATATTCTCTAGCTTAATTACACCCAAACCAACGATGCTATTTATCCTGTTCAGCCAAAAATGAATATATTTATTACACAATATCTTGGAGGAGTCAAAGATATCCATGTGATTTAATTTTTTCCCTATGTAACTGAAAAGCAAATTTCATTTTTGTATTCCCTTTTGTTTCACCTATATTTGCTAAATTATTCCATATATCTATTACTATAAAATACATTCACACTTGTTTCTGTAACAATAGGACGTAAGATAGACTTAAAAGAATATTATATTTTTAATCACATGCTTTAAAAACTATTATTAGATATTTTGCTCCTGTTAATTATGTATTAAAATAGAAATTTGAAATGATGAATATTTTACTTTTGAAATTGAAATATTTTCTTTAGAACAAAAATACCATATCTACTTTCTAAATATTTTGTACAGATGTTTCATTTTTTAGGAACAATTTTCCCCAAAATATATAAACTTCTTATTAAATGTAAAATAAGATTTTCAAATTCCAGTTTCCTAATACTTTACTAGGAAATAAGATGTAATCCCAGATTAGTTTCAATACAGGAGTCCTGTTTTCCACCCAAGCACATGGTAAATGAGCCTGCTTGACTGCAGTTGGCACTGTCATGGACTGAACTGTTGCCTACCAGCCCCACTTCCCCATGTTCAAGTTCTAACCAACAGTACCTGAGAATGTCACTGTATTTGGAGACAGGAACTCTAAAGAGGTGATTAAGTTAAAATAAAGACCCCAGTATGAATGGAGGAGTCCTTAGAAAAAGAAGAAATTTGGCCAGGCATGGTGGCTGCCTGTAATCCTGGTACTTTGAAAGGACAAGGCAGGCAGATCACTTGAGGCCAGGAGTTTGAGACCAGCCTAGTCAACATGGTGAGACCCCGTTTCTACTGAAAATACAAAAATTAGTTGGGTGTGGTGGCACAAGCCTGTAGTCCCAGTTACTCAGGAGCCTGGGGCAGGAGAATTGCTTGAAACCGGGTGGCGGAGGCTGCCGTAAACTGAGATCATGCCACTGCACTCCAGCCTGGGTGACAGAGTGAGACTTAGTCTCAAAAAAAAAAAAAAAGGGGGGGGGTGGGAGTGGGTGGAAATTTAGACACACAGAGATATTCAACAAATGTGCACACACAGAGATGCCCATATAAGGATACAGGGAGAAGGCCGCTGCCTGCAAGCTAAGGAGAGAGGCCTCAAGAGAAACCAATCTTGCTGGCCCCTTGATCTTGGGCTTTGGCCTGCAGAACTGTGAGAAAATAAATTTCCGTTGTTTAAGACTCCTCCCTTGTGGTATTTGTTATGGCAGCCCTAGTAAGTAATATAGCACTAGTCATATATTATTAGTGATAGAGACACTGACATTATTTGGTTTTTCACATTTCTGGATTCTTGATTTTGGTAATCATCTTTATCTTGCTTCAGGTCCTGAACTTGCTCAATGCCCTGATTTCAGTTTGCTGAAGATCTTATGCATGAAGACAGTGAATGAAATGACTGTGGACAAATAAGCCTCATTCCTGTATTCTTCAATTTAAAAGCAAAAATTCAGAATCAGAAGGCTTCATATCTACTCTCTCCTTTTAGCCCCACTAGACAGCAGTGTAACCACCCAAGGGGTTCACCTTGCCCGCTGCCTAGACAGAACTGATTCATCAAGACAGGTGAATTGCAATAGAGAAAGAGTAATTCACACAGAGCCAGCTGTGTGGGAGACCGGAGTTTTACTATTACTCAAATCAGTCTCCCAGAGCATTTGGGGAGCAGAATTTTTAAGGATAACTTGGTGAGTGGGGGGAAGCCAGTGAGCCAGGAGTTCTGATTGGTCAGGGACGAAATCATAGGGAGTGGAAGCTGTGTTCTTGCACTCAGTCAGTTCCAGGGTGGGGCCACAAGACTGGATGAACCAGTTTATTGATCTGAGTGGTGCCAGCTGATCCATCAAGTTCAGGGTCTGCAAAATATCTCAAGCACTGGTCTTAGGAGCAGTTTAAGGAGGGTCAAAATCTTGTACACTCCAGCTATATAACTCCTAAACCATAATTTCTAATCTTGTGGCTAATGTTAGTCTTACAAAGGCAATCTAGTCCCCAGGCAAGAAGGAGGTCTGCTTTGGGAAACAGCTCTTACCATCTTTGTTTAAACCGTAAACTAAGTTTCTCCCAAAGTTAGTTCAACCTATGCCTAGGAATGAACAAGGACAGCTTGGAGGTTAGAAACAAGATGGAGTTGGTTAAGTTAGATCTCTTCCACTGTGTCAGTCATAATTTTGCAAAGGCAGTTTCAGCAGTGACTCGTGACAAATCTAACAAGAGCACTTTTAGTCCGTGAGGGTGCAGCAACGCACATACACACACACACACACACACACACACACACGTGCGCGCGCGCGCGCACGCACAGCCCTCTTTTCCCCAAACTACATTATCTCCATTCTATGCTCTTCCTATTTTACTAGAGGGAAAAATGAAGCTAACAGATCTTGTAATATTTTCTACCATTGAATGGAATTACATCACCACATCACACCCTTAGAGACAGGCTGAGGCATTCTAGACACTTTTGTTGAAAATTCAGTTAATTGCTCCAAAGTAGGCAGTGGTGTTTATCAGAGAAGTTTATACCCAATAGTTGAAATATCTCCAGACATGAATAATTTATTAGAGGAAAGTAAGTCATTCTACAACTAATTAAAATTTACTCTAAAACATAATTCTTGGAATTCTTTAAAGGATAGAATAGATTAATTAACTATTTGCCATAATGGTAGCTAAACAGAGATGTCATTGGTAGCAAATGTTAAGGGTCTGAGAATGTTTATGTAGAAAGTCACGCTTGCTGTGTATGCTGATTTAGCACACTTTGGGGTTAGTTACTCTGCGAGAGAGGCATGTAGGCACTGAACATGCAGGCACCGAAGACATTCGGTCAGAGATCTCCAAGGCAGATCTGGGGGCAGGCTGGCAGACAGGCGCTAAACAGAAATATGTTATGAAGTGCTGAGGCCATGTCAAAGAGGTTCTAAGCCTGCATCCTGAGGAGCAGTTTTAGACTGAAAACTGGGGACTGCCATTTGCTCTGTGACAAATGGAGGGCCCACCCATTCAATTGGACACCTTCCTTTTGCCATGGCTGTTTTTATGGGGCTATCTCATGACACAGTGGCTTTACCCAGCAACATCTTTAAGGTGCTGCTCACGCCATTCTAAATTTTACTCCCTATCCAATTGCTTGTTAATATTGAGTTACCAGCTCACTCTGGATTTTATTTTTTAATAAAGATCAAAAGCCTTCCATTGTGTTCTTGCTCTGATAGCAACGGAGCTTGATCTATGCCTCTATGAAGAAGCCCTAGCCACTTCAGTAGTTGCTTGTCATGCATAGAATCACTTCTTATTCTTTGTTCTTTTAACAATTGTACCTGTTAGGATCAAACTCTCCCTAAACACTTGTGTACCCAACTCTCCACCATCCACTGCCACCACCTCATTTATGTATAAAGCAGAAAATTCTTCATTCACATCATTGTCTTGAGAGACTGAAGATACAAATGGACAAGGTTAGACCATGTAAAAAACAGAATTTTGACCCATGACCTGTAGCATCTTGCCCAGGAAACTGTCCCTTTATATACAATAAGCAACCCAGGAAGCCAGCCTGCTATAAGTGACGCCGGAGGCCAGATTGCTCTCTAGAGACAGTCCAGGAAGCTAAACAAAAACTGCTGAAACAATCAGCCCCAAATGGCCAGGAATTGATTAATAACTGACAGTGTCCCTGAGTTTTGCCCACAGTTCCAACTTAAGACCAACCAGAGAAAGCCAAATACACACCCCAACCACTCACACAGGATGTCCTGCTTCTAGTTAGCTGCCTCCAGCTGCCCCTGGCCATCAGTCGCCATCAGGGCACACCTGGAGCCATGTGTTTCTCCACTATAAAGCTTTCCAGCCCTCTGCCTGCAGTAAGTGAGTCTCTGCCAAACCCAGAGGATGGTGACTGACTTCCTTGCTACAGCAGGTTCTGCATACTCTTTGCTTCTTTTTTATTTGGTTGGTCTTCCTTTATTTCCAGTTTTTTACTTCTCTGCCTTCTCTCTTAATTACTACTTTTTGAAATCCTCGAAACAAAAACAAGCAGTTAAAGATATGTGCACTTAACCTTGCCTTCCATGATTTTATTTCCCCTAGGGTCAAATTATTTAGTAATAGCCACTCTGCTTTCTGCCTTTCTCATTCTTTTAGCTTACTATTACTTAATGATTCACTTTAACGTATTGTGTTCTGTTGAACTATAAAGGAAGTCACGGAGAGGAAAAGAGATTTCACACGTTGAAAGAGGACCTTCAGACTTTCTAGGTGGGAGGTGAGAAAGAAGAGTTAGAAGGCAAACATAATTGTAATATTTTGAAGCCAAATGATAGGGAAGATGGTCATGCTTTTAAAAGTAAAAGGGGAAGCCTGGAGGAAGGGCCTTGTAGCAGAAGATGCCAACTGTTCACCAACATGCATGTTCTTCATTCTTCTTGAGCACTAACAGAGCCCATGCTCAGCCTCCCTAGCTCTTAGATATGGTCAGAGGTTGATGTTCTGGCCAATGGAAATGAATTGAAGTACTGTAGGTCACTCTTAACCAGAGCCCTGCAGGCAGGGGTCTTAAGGCTGAGCATGGGTTCTATTTTATATGCCTTTCACCCCCCTGTCCTGGCTGAGATAGCCATGGGCAGTGTGACCTGAAAGTCATGTGTGGAAGAAGAAATGAATGACTTTGCAAAGAGAGCTATCACCAAAGTGGAGCACCTCTGCTACCTGCGAGGATACGTTTTCATACTCTTCAGCACTGGATGATTTGGGAGCTTCTTGTTAAAGCAGTTTAGCTTACATTATCCAATGTAGGTATGTTTGGGACATGCATTCTCAGAGGAGTAGAATCAAACTCCAACAGTATTACATAAGTATCTGTAATGTTCCAAACATTATGTGACACCCCAGAAATATAAGCCTGTTAACCCATGGTGCGCTTTGTGAGATGTTCACAATGGGAATCACCAGATAGACAACAACACGAGGTGATCAGCACTCCAGAGCTGGGCCTGACACACCGAGGCCGTTCGTGAAGGAAACTCCTAACCCTTCCTGGGAGAGTGGGGAGGATGCCAAGACTGGAAGCATTTGAGATGCCACTTGAAGGATGACTAGGAGGTCGCCAGTGGCCAAGACCTCAGCAGAGGTAAATGTGGGAGGGGGGGACAATGATAAAGGGGACGACAGTGAGTCATAGCAGTGCCAGGCACACAGCAAGGACATGCAGAGAAGCAAGGTGGACTTCAGAGGTGATTCACTCCAACATGTATCTGATGCACAAACTCCCTGTACCACCCCCTAGGCATGTGGTATCCATCCTTCTAAAGGAATAACCAGAGTGCAGGGAGCACACCCCACAAGAAGGGTTCCATCCTCTGCGGAATACACCTAAATGGCCCGTGACATAGTGAGGATGCTTAATTTGCATTTGGCCTATTGTTAAATAACATGTAAAGATTTTGACAGCAATGCCAATGACTCCAAAATAACACTTCCAAAAGCATGACACGGTTGCATCACCAACTTTCCATAGTTAACGTCTTCCCTGATCTCTTCTGAACTTATTTACTAGCATTTCTATAACTGAGGTTTCCAGCTTTACTAACTTGCCAACTTATATAGGGTCCCTTAGTGCCATTATTAGCATGAAAAAAGATACAAATCTCCACAATGGACAGAGCATACAGGTTCCCTATTCCAGGATTCCTTTGAGGTTTTGTCAACTCAGTCTGTACTTTTGGGCAGCGGAATTGATTCTTAAAGACTAATGGTAGATCTAATCGGTGCTACCTTTATAAGGAAGGCCAGTTTCTCAACACTTGGCTCTGAGCTGTTATTTACCATGACATAGTGTGTGCATGACCACTCTTTATAATCCCTCCTCCCTTCATTCTTTCTCCACTCACTAAAATATGCAGTCTTCTGGGAGAGGAGCGTTCACATACCTTCAACAACTCTGATAATACCACATGAATATAAATGTACATTTTTATCATGGAAGCAAAAATTGAAGTCTTTCTAAACCATATTAACAATTTCAGATTAAACAATTTATAAACTGTGGTATGGATTTAGTGATCCTACACCAATTATTTAAAAAACAAAGTATTGTTTCTTTCTTGCAACATATGCAATGGTATAAACTCTTTTATTCCACAAACTAACTACTCAAAACACAGGTTAGAAACAAAAAAAAAAAAAAAAAAAAAAAAAAGAGAGAGAGAGAAAGAGAGACCACAAAATAAATAAATGACTAAAAGCCCTAACAGACAAAATATACAAGTTTATTTTAAAAAAATGTATTACATTGTTTAAAGCAAATTCATCTGGGCTTTATTCAGAGATAATTTACTCTTATCTTACATAAAATTCTAACTATTTTTGTTTCTGTCAATCCTACTGTGCACTATGCACAGTAGGAGCTATAGCCCCCAAACCACCAAGTTAAAACAAAACATCTGAGGTACTCCAGGA